TGCCTGGAAGTCTTTACAACCTTTGTTGGCAAGAGCACGGCGAAAGCACGCTGAAATAGCAGACATCTAGGATCTATTTGTGCATTATTAACAAATGACAGCTCTAGTTATATTCTTTCTCTTCTCCAAACACACTTCCCTCCATCAGTCTGCCTACGGCCAGTATAACATTATGTCTTCTTTATAAATTACAGCTCTTATATTCTTTCTGTTATCAAAACAGTACATTCACTTTTACTTTCTGTTTGACAGCTTTCACTGGTATATTATGGACTGTTAAGAGAGAGAATGTCTCTGGTTCATACCCTTGATGTTTCCAGGCTCAAGCTGTAGCACCTGATCACAGTCTTCTATTGCCTTCTTCCACTTACATAACTTCACATCTGTAACAACCAACACAAAGCCAGTCAACCAGCTGAGCTATCAATATGTTTACAGCAAGGTTCAACTGAGGTGTACATTAAGGTTTTATAAGAACTCTGTATACATGCCATACAATAAACCACACTAATGTGACGCTGACTGTCAGGGAAATGAATCATAACAAAGCATAAACCCTGAAGGTTTTGACTCACAAGCTATGGCCCTGTTGTTGTATGAGGCTGCAGAGGGACAGAGAGACAGGCTCCGCGAGTAGTACGTCACTGCTTCCTGGTAATCTGCTGATCTAAATGCCTGGAATAGAGCAAATAAAGATGTTTTACAGGGGCAGATTTAGGCCATCTTCTGGGTCTTCTGGAAGACGGTTAGATTTTCAAGTTAACATTGATGGGTATCTAATGTTTTCTGTCAGAAGACAGTGAAAATGGAGGATGGATCAACAAAAGATAATTTGGAAGACTGTCTGAAAATATCTCTGGATCCGCCCCTGTTATATGCATCATATGTTCCTGGATCTCTGGGTCAGGGATACATGTTGGCCACCCAGTGATGTGAGCAGATTAAACACATCAAATACTCTGAGGAATTTAATTCCTCTGAGGAGAAAAAGGTTACACCTAGATGATGCAATATGTAAAGTAATGTAATTGCATCCTTATTCACAGTTACTGAAATTTGACAGAAAAAATAATTCAAACATTGCTATTCAAAATTTCACCTCATTTCCTTTGTCTTTTTCCCTGCTGGCTTTCAGCTCTTTCTCTGCTTGTGTTAAACCTTAAAGGAAAGCAGCACAATTGTAAATCCTTTAGAAACAAATTATAATAAAAAGTAACCACAAAATATCTCACTGAAGTTAATAAAAGTTCTTTAATGTCAAGTAATAATGTATTATCTCTAGAAAAAGAGAGAAATGTTTGAGCATGAATAAAATTGTGACACAGCTGTCATCAGTACTGGTATCACACTACACAGCCTGTTCATGTGTGTGTGTGTGTGTGTGTGTGTGTGTGTGTGTGTGCGTGTGCGTGTGTGTGTGAACTTACTTGTAGGATCTAATGTATCCACTAGTTTACCAGACTTAGGTTTATTGACAGACTTTGCCTTTATTTCTTCTGGTTGCTTGTCTATCTTCTCCAGCTCTGCATCTATATCAACCCTGAAAATAAACACCATACCAAAACCATTATAACTTTAAAACTGAAGCAGACATACACAGATACTAATAGTTACTGGTTAGCTTTGTGTAGAAGACCAATCGCATTCAGTGCCATATCTCTGACGCTGAACCTCAAAGATCTTCCTCTTATTCTCTCTGTCTGCTCAGTGGTGAGTGCTACACTTTCTCCACACACCCTCTTCTGACAGAGTATCATAACAATTATTAACAAAATTCCAATTAAAGCAAGTCTCTTTTGGTCTCTCAGCAAACAAGGTCCACGCTGATGAAATATTTACAAGTCAACATCCTTTACTTCCTCCTAAAATTAATCCTGTGTGATAAATATGAAAATATGTTCCTGCCAAAATATCTGTCACCTATGTAACCCCCCTCCCCACCCCACCCCCTCCCCACCCCACCCCACCCCACCACGTCACTTACTTGTCCCATTCCTTGTAGTCTCTCGGCTTTACTCGCTTGTTGGATTTGTTACTTTTATTAGCTACTTTTGCTTCATTCTGAAAGAGAAAAGGTTTCCATGACGACCAATATTTGTGTAGAAAATCATTATTTGATATATTATTCTAATTCACGGCCTGTGTGTAAATAATCACCAGAGGTCAGCAGTGTACTTACAGTTTTAGTGTTCACGGCTCGTGGAGGTGGCAACTTTTCATCTCCCAGAATTCCAGTTTCTGTCTTCAGTTTTGTGTCAGTAGTTTTCATCTGCTGTAGCCAGTCCTGAAATATGCAAAGTTCTACATCAAAGTGCTGGCACCGGGTTTTCTTTTGCACAGAATCTGACCAATGGCTTGTGTACAAAAACTATGTAAGACTCTCATAAATTCTGACAACCTTTAATGGGATATATTTTATCAGGGAAAATAAGACTCTTATCCTTTATTTCAGCAGTTCAACAATCCAAACTTCCTCTACACATCTGGCATCTGGTGTAATATATCCTTACAACACAAACATTCAGGCAGTGATAACTTACACTGAGGTCATCTTTCAGTTCTATCTGTTCTTCCTTGCTGAGGTCCTTCAATGTTCCAATAGGTTTAACTTCTCTCAATACTCGGCTGATCACAAAGAGTAGATATGTATATAGAAATGAATACTTTGATATCAAAGTGGTACACATACTTGTGATTATTATAGCCAAGCAATAATAATAACAGTCATTTATCAATATGACCTCTTCATATAGGCTCAATTAAAGTTCTTACACTGACTTTCTCAGTATCTTATATACTATTATAACAAATTGTGCCAAGTTTATTTTTAAAGTTAGTGACCTTTGACCTCCCTGTGACCTTTGACCTACCTCTCAGGGTGAAGGTTCCTCAGTTTGTTTTCACATTGCTGTTCCAAGTGTGGGAACACCCCCTCCTCTCCTGACCTGAAAACAACGCCACAGGTAATAACACATTTCAAGGCAAGCTATATCAGGCCCATACCCAGGAGGGAGAAGGTCTCCTCTGGGGAAAATTTAATCTAGGTGCACAAGGTTTCATGGTGAATGGTCCACCTCTTCAGAAAAATAACCCCCTTTTGAAATTGCTGGCTATGGGCCTGTAAAGGATCTCGGAATACAATATAATACAATAAATTTTATTTCATGTCGGGTATAAATTGAAAGGTAACATTAGCTTTACAGCTATTCACCAACTGGGTAAGGACAAAAACATATCTACAGATTGGGCACTGCCATGTCTAACGTCCTCTTTACTTAAGATGGAATGGCTAAATATGTATACTGGCATTTCTTTAAAAGGTTTCACTTCAAGAATTTTGACCAAGAGTGACCCACTGATGGAAATATCAATTATTAATCAATAAATGATATAATGTAATGTAGTAAACATATCATCACGTTAAGATTAGTACCCCCTTTTTTTGTCCAAAGGATATAGAAGGTAAAATTTTAGCAGAATCTCTGACGTATTTTAATTCCAATACATTGAAAACTGACCTTAAAGCCAGCAATATCTTCTCCAGCTCTTTCACATTGTTACACTTCTCTATGTAAGCATACTCAAAGTGTTCTACGGGGATGTTGTGTGTCTTTGTGCAGTAACCGCCCGCGTTGTATGCAGCCGTGCGCACTGCAGGATCTTCTGCCATGCTGTCACTGGTGTGGACTGGAATAGATGTTAACTTTACAGCCATGTTTAAAAGAACTCCAGATGTTCATCGGGGAACTCTGGGTGACTTAGAGCAGTGACCAGGGGAATTAATTCAGATTATTAGTTTTCAGCAATAAATCAGTGTGATCATTAGATTGAGAACAGCATAAGTATCATGGCAACCTGCTCTTTCGTTTCTCCTTTTCAAAATGGATAATTTGTTTGTTTTTTTAAACAGAAAACAGAAACGGTGAAATGCAGATTTACACCCCATTTCCATAGATTAGATCAACCTACTTTAGATCGACCTAACTCCCTGGGGGTTCACGAAAAATAGCTGTCAGCCCGGCGGACACGAAAGTTAATTACCCCTTATAGCTTTCTAGTAGGCGGGGACGGACACTTAAGGGGGATTATCTGACAGTAATCTAGTAGGACTCCCCGCGGTGATAGATCGATCTAAAGTTGTGGGAATAGACCCTAAGGGAAAAAGGGAGTAATCATTATATTATTATTATTATTATTATTATTATTATGCCTTTTTTGTCTAACTTATAAAGTGCAACTTACGGGCTCTAAAAGAAAGGATAATACTAATATCTCTAGAAGTAGTAAACAGTAAATCTGCACATTTTCACACGTTTTAAAAATGTAAGTTGATATTACTGCTTTCAATGCACCATTACATTAGAAATTTGACAAGTAGATGACTTTTAAATACAAATTAAATGAAACGAAATTAAATTAAATTAAAGAGTAAGCACCTGGTTATACAGACTGAACTATTCCAAAAAATACATTATCGGGAGTTTTGACAACGCCATAAGCTATAAATGATTATGAGGTTTATCGTTTAGGTGTTTTCCAGAAAAAAGCACATGCTTTCATTTTGACTAGGATGTAAATTTTCATATCACAGTCGCCAAAGATACAATTCACATTCCAACAATTACTTTCTACAGATAAGATTAATACATATATGATATTTTTAGTTTTTAGCCCAGAGAAGTTTACAAACCTTATAAAAACGAACAATTCCGCGGCAGTATCACAGCAACAGCGTACATCGCCTTCCAACGGAAATAGGTCACACACCCGCACTCAATACAGCTTACAAATGTCATTGGTTGATCTGATTGGGAAGTCATCTCCAAATGGGGATCTAATAAGGGATAAGGTAAATTATTCAGGGGTATTTTGCAAAAAGACATAAAATTATGTTTTCATAGTTATAATGCTTTGATTTACACAAAAAAGCCCTTGTGAACGACAGGGCACCTGCCAAGATAAGCCAAAGAATACCAGATGGTGCTGCCATCTTACGAAGAACATCCAAAACAAATATAACATGGCGCTGTCGGCTGGTTGACCTATTTTCCGGGTATTTTAGAGCTGTATATAATCAAGAAAACTCCCTAGTTTCAGTCAGTCTATTTCGTTAATATGCGATGGAAAGGATCGGGATGATCACCGTGTACATATCTGTACTATTATTTCATGTGATCTGTGGTAAGTAGGGTGAGGTCTTTCCGTTTACACAAACTTGAGATGGTTTACAATTTTCATCAAGTTCTTGCAGTCATGTTTAAACTTGACTCAGCACAAAGTGAAAGTTTTATTCTAACACTTGCTATGTGCTGTTTCACTTAGTTTTGAAGTCTATTTTGAAAAACAGTGATCGTATATTGTCATATCAATATAATTTTTATCCTGAAAACAACATTATCATATTTTTATTATTTCAGTGTAATTTCTGTCTCTTCTGCTTTGACTTACATGCCATGTTTTCCAGCAAAACAAACACACACACACACACACACACACACACACACACACACACACACACACACACACACACACACAGCAGTAGCACGAAGATTTCTTCTTTAGCACTCCTATTGACGATTCTGATGAGTACTAGCTATGTTGAATTTTCGTTCTAACACGGCAGTTGCCTCTCTCAACCCCAAACACTCTATCACAGACACCACATTTCTTTCCAGCCACATTAACTGGGCGCCTGGCCTACTTTGAGACGCTACATCACCGTGACTTCTCACATGTGATACATAGACGTAGTCTCCACACACAGACACCAAGCCATAGAGAAGTGGCTTTTAGTGCACTGGGCAGGTAGGTGGAATTTGTTATTGCATTGATTTTATAACTTCCAAGAATTGACACATGATTCTATTAGTCCATTACTGTAAATTTCAGGCATCCTAAAAGCAGTTCTATAGATATCAAGGTACCTCAACTCCCAAGACAGAAGTATACTGAGTGTATTGATAAATTTGGCATTTCATCTCTTTTACACACAGTACAATTGAATTATACATGAACCAAGTAACTACATATCTTGGCTTTTTTCATCTCAGCTGTGCCCATGAAATATAGCACAGGTGCTGAGTTAAGTATGCCCTGATATTTGTGTGCATCAGAAGGTTCACGGAATCAAGGCGTAAATATTTGTCAGAGTTTAAAAAAGAACAAAAATGGTAATAAGTTGATTCCTTAACCAAGAAATTAATGAATTCTTAATAATACCATTCCTCCAATCTGCTGTCACTGTAGATCCAGGCTTATGATGTTGTGTTACAGGCAGTTCCATCTGTTCTTCCTGTTTAGTTTTCTCTCATTGTTGTGTTACAGGCAGTTCCATC